TCGATTCAAATTTCGTGTTCTTCGATATAAACTAAGATAAGAACAGCAATTCATAAAAGTTTTCGTATTCAAAGTATTAAAGAGGTATTATATTCCAATGCCAAAGTGCTTAAAGCCAATTATGAAGATATTTTTATAAATGTACTTAACTTTCGAGACTTCACAAGTAAATTCACAACAAGTCTAAACTTTGTGAGTATTTTTAGGTCTATTCAGATCTACCTTTGTGGGTTACATCCGTCTGATCTATCGTTGTTAGCGATATTTAAACTTGGGTTAAGCATTTCTCAATATAAAAGTGCAAAATATTAAATAGTTAAATTAAATATAAAAAGGTTAGGATCAATAACTGTACGGATCGACGGATCGATTGACGAAATCAACTGTACGGCTGGCGTAGTGGTTTAAACGGTCACCTCGCCGCTTTCTAATGCGCTGAGTGTTGTGGGTTCGATCCCCGCATGGAACAACACTTTGTATGATCCACAAATTGTTGTTCTTTGTGTCCGTTTCATGTATGTTTGTAAAGTCCCCCGCGACACAGGCAGGAGTTGTTTTTTTAAAAGAATGAATGATTGAATAACGTATTACTTTATACACCCGAGAGTATTCAATCCGGGTCAGATTATAAACCTTTAAGAGGTGAACATTGTGACAAAATAAATGTCTCCATTTAAGGAGTATTTCATTATTATCAATTTACTTTATACATACTTATCTTCATGTGTCTCAGATCGATTACTCTACAGTGTACTGAATAAGGTTCAGAAGCGTAATACACCAAAATTTTATCGCTAATACAAGACACGCCTTGAAACATTTTATCTATAATTATATTGTCACGAAAAGGAAATCTCTTAGGTAGCCTTGTTCTCCTTCAACTTAATTATTCCGTTCTCGCATCGCAAATGTTGGAGGAAGGGTTAAGGTGGGAGGAGTTGTACAGGGAACGCAGTGGGCATCTTTTAATAGGTGGTGTGTTGAGGAATGCGTTATGTGCGGTTACAAGTATGTTTGGAGATAGTTGTGCGTTTTATGGGGTTGTGTCAAAAATGTGTGTTATGTAATTTTTGAAAGAAGTGTCAGTTTCTTCGAGTTCATGAAGTGAAAATTATTTGACAAGTTTTTTACTCGGTCTTTTAATCCCAAACTGGACTGCCTTGGTGGCTCAAAGGTAGCGTATGCGACTGCTGTTCTGAGGTCTCGGGTTCGATTCCTGCGTCGGACCAAATATTTGTATGATCTGCAAATATTTGTTTCGGAGTTTGTGTGTTTCCTATGTATAATCAACAGCCTATACTAGTCCACTGCTGGACATAGGCCTCTCCTTAGAAAAGAGGTTTTGGCCTACTATACCACGCTGGCCAGACGGGTTGGTATAGGGTTTGTTTCAAGATTTCCTTCTCTTTGCAGTGCTGTTGTCCTGCTTTGTTTGCTCCCTTAGTCGGCTCATACGACACCCACGGGATGAATGCCAAGTGCGAGTTTATTTCACTTCTATTCGATTTTAAGACGTAAGAGCCGTCTTACGACACCCACGGCATGAATTGGGGTGGTGACAATTTGTATTCTTAATCCGTCACCACACGGAAATATCCTATGTATAATATGTATGTATTTATAAAAAAAAGTATATAAGTATTCCATCAGTCAATCTAGCTTTCATAGTACAAGCTCTGCTTAGTTTGAAACTAGATGGCGTTGTGTGTTAAATGTCTGAAATATTATTAAAAAAAAGCTTGTACTATGGGAACTAGACGGCTGATATACACACATATTGTAGATAAGTTATAGCCAGACAGAATAAATTATCATGCTTATCACATAATTATTTGTTCTGGGTTGGAATCGAATCCACGACCTGGTGTTTAGTAGTCGGAATCGCTAACAGCTTTAGCCACCGTTTCATTCATATCCCAAATTTGCCGATCTTTGTTTATAATATACTAAATAGTCAAATTTCAAATTCTCCTCCTCTATTTGCATTTAGTAGAGTTAAAAGATTGATTACAATCCTTATACACTAAACGTCGTCCCACCATAATACCCAATGGGTCATGTCCAATGAATTGACCCCTTCAATTGAGGGTTACGCATAAAACTATTCAACCTTAAATATTGAGGGTTCCGTAATAAAAATAAATGGATTTTAACCCTTAGAGCTATGAGCAAGTTAAGTGTGTGTATGAAGGAGTACGGTGGAAATTGAAATTTAAAATCGGCAGTTTTGTAATGATTACTAAATGTTAATACCACACTCGTCGAAATAGTACTTATCTGGCTCGTTGGGGACCCAGGAGTTAGGAGTATGTGGTGCTTCTACTAAAAACCACTCCTACCGCCGATCTTAGGCACCCTACTCAGAGTAGAACCCGGACCATATGTTTTCAGGTCCTCCCCAGATCGAAGCCCAGTCCAACCTAGTTCTACCTAATATGTGTTTGTATCTAATTATATTTTCTTGTGGTTGTTAAATGAAACAAGACGTAAAAAAAAAGAAAACCTTTTTCTAAGTAGTCTGTATAATTATTTTATGAATTTTTTATAGTAAAGAATTTGTGTAATACTAAAATCTATATGTGTAAGATTTTTTAATGAACATATGTAAAAAAAAAGACAGATATGAAAACGGCTAATAAAAACTACAAGAATGCACTTTACATATTTGTTGACCTGGTGTGGAAAATGTATAGAATTAGACTTCAAGTTAGAAGTTATAAAATTATGGTGAAGTTCAACAGGCAGGGATCCTTGTGTCCGTTTCATGTATGTTTGTAAAGTCCCCCGCGACACAGGATTTATTCCTAGTGCGGGAGTTGTCTTATTGAGACAACGTCATTGAGACAAATTCCTTGCTTTCTCCTCCATTATATTGTCATTCTTGTTCGTTCGTATAAAATCATTCTAGTGCGGGAGATGTGTTTAAAAGAAATAAACTAACAATCAAACGACGCCACCTAATGTTAAGTAGTTTTTAGTATTTTTATATTACTAGGAACCCTTTTTCCATACCTACACCTACACCTAAATCTACACCAACACCTACAGCGGTAGTGCTAGGTTTTTATTTTATTATTTATGTCTTCCTTTGTTCTATTTTTGAGTCTCGAAAGTAACGTAGGTACAAGTTTTTAATTTTAAGAGTTTTTCTATTTTTCAAAGAACCCTCGTTAAATAATGTCGAGGAACCCGATTTGGGGTTAATGAACTCTTGTTGAAGGCAATTTTCCTGTACAGTCGGTCGGAAAAGTGTTCCTTTGTGGGAGAAATCTTCATGAGATTTTTTTGATCAGATTTTCAGGAAAAGGCATTTGAAACAAAAGTGTTGTGGATATAATCATTCTATTTAAATGAAGAAAATAAAAAGTTCCATTTAAATTATTCAAATTAAGGTACTTTTTATAAATCTATAAAATTCTCATTTTCGACAAATTATAATAAAACTTTCAATATCTAAATATCCGAAAAGTGTAGAATAACTATGTTCTAAAGCACTTCCATTCTGTTTTGATGTGGGATCATCTTCAGCTCAATGGAATACTTTCCACATACCATCTTCTCATGGTGAAATTCGGGGATATCTTAAGGTATCCCTCGACAAGTTCCCGTAATTCATTTTAGGGTGACAAAACCCTTCGTCTCTCCTATTGTCGTCCCTGTTGGTCTAGTGGTTAGTGACCCTGACTGCCAAGCTAGAGGTCGTGGGTTCGATTCCCAGCCAGGACAAATATTGTGTGATGAGCACGAGCATTTTGTTCTGTGTCTGGGTATAATTTATCTATAGTTAAAATGTATGTTTGTCAGCAGTCTGTTAACTATAGAACAAGCTAGCTTGTGATTAGACTGTGCTATAAGATGTGAGAAGTTATTATTATTTATTATGATTATGCCTAAATTTCATGAAAATCAGATCAGCATTTAAAACTTGAAGGCGTAATAAAAAAAAACAAACTCACTTCCATTGTTTTATTGTGAATTATTAATTTATTAATTAAATTTAATATTAATACAATAACTACAATGTGCTCACATGTACTTTAATTTCACTGTATTTACCCCGTCTCATGTATAATTTCTCTCTTCAGCATACTTAATGCTAAGAATTCCATTGGAATTAAGATTGGTTTTGTATATTTTATTCCAAGAACATTTAGAAAAGAAATATTTTATACCAGGCACTGCTTTCTGTTGTACCAGGGACTTCCTTTCTAGGGTACACCTGGATCCCCGGCTACTGGTACCCGCAACGGCGTGCGGTTTTTAGTCGGTTCGATTCCGACATAGCCACTGGTATCCGAGGGGATTTCCGCATAGTAAAAAAAAAGTCACTACTTTCCGCTTTATGACATGTAATTCCGTGTGTATATGGAATTCGCACAATCCCGTTTTAACTATTTGTGTTATGGGGGGGTCATTTAAAAGGCTTAGTTGGCTTGAGGTACGTCGGGGTACCAGGGCTTTCCTGTATAAGGTATACTTGGTTCCCCGGCCACTGGTACTTGGAGACGGCGTGCGGTCTTTAGTCAGTTCGAGTCCGACACACACCCACAGTCGGTGGTATCCGAGGGTTTCCTGCACAGAAAAAAGAAAAAGGGGGTAAACAAGCAGACGGGTCACCTGCTGGTAAGTGACTATCACCGCCCACGCTTGTGACTTTTGAGTTCTAGGTGACCACACCTACAATTCACACACTTGAGTCCCTTTAGATTTAGCGGAAGTGGCTTTTTTTCTACAGTAAACTTACTTTAGTGTGGTAACGGAATAAGAATAAGGAGTGTCACCTAACTACTAATGGAGCAAACTGAGACAACAACACTGCTAAGAGAAGGAAAACTTGATACAAACCCTATACCAACCCGTCTGGCCAGCGTGGTATAGTAGGCCAAAACCTCCTTTCTAAGGAGAGTCCTATGTCCAACAGTGGACTACTTAAGGCTGTTGATGATGATAATATAAACCCTTCAATTCAAAAATACTTACTTACGTTCCTTCTTCCTCAGATCCACCTGGAGCCCCTTACATCGAGGGTTACGCTGAAGGAGAGACTGTTCGCCGTGGCCAGAGCTTAGAGCTGGTCTGTCGCAGTCGTGGAGGAAACCCGCCAGCTCAGCTTATTTGGTACAAGAATGGGGAGCAAATACGGATGGCTTACAGGTAAGAGTTATAAAATTAACAGCTTCGAAGAATATTGGCATAAATCTTGGTGTACTAATATCCTGGCATTGTAAATTTAAAAGTAACTCCCTGTAGTGCGTGTGTATCGGTGTTAAGAACCAGGAAACCGAAGTTACTGAAAATATGACGTAAAATAGGAATTAAAGAGTCCACAACCACTATCACAGCTGAGGGCGAATTATCATATACCGGAAATCCAAAATATATTCTGTAAACAGATGTTTACCAGGAATTGCAGATATACATACCTTTAGAGAAGCAATTTTTTATTAAGCCCGATATTACGACATGACATTTATGAATAATATTTCGTCATACTACTTAGCTCATAAGGAAAGAAAACGACCCTACCCTAATAAATAGCGGTTATTGATAAATGTACGCAAACGTTTTGACACAGCTATATACGCCTTTTTGCAGGTTGGAGCTGTTGCTATTGAATCAAACCCCTATATCGCTGAAAGACACCCTATAAAATTTTATTTTCGCATTTATAAAATTGGTTAGAATATAGAGCAGATAACCCACAAGTGACATCCCTATTATTGCCAATACCGGTATTTCAGATACCGGTTTTCGATACCGTTGCTAATACCAACTTCGGATTTCTTTTTAAGAAATATTGAAGCATTTTATCTTGAAAGAGGTTTCGTTCCCAACATCCTTTCTGACATAAAATAAGTGCTATATTACTGACTTCCGGTACATGAAAAATTATTATATACTATTTGTTAAAGTGCGGTATTGATTCCAGTGAACGGAATCCGGTTTAATATCTTGTCGCTGAATTTTTTAGTGCATATAAATATTTATGTATTGTGCTAACTGAAGTTCTGGGTATTTAGGAAATGGGCGTTAGGGAAAAATATAAGGCTCGAGTTCCATTAATGTATATACAGGATATTACGTAAGCCTATTCTGTACAATTTTGGTTGTAACACGAAGAAAAATTACTCAGTTAAAATGTGTATATGGGAGTATTGTAGGGTAAAATTGCTTATTCTGAGATCCGTTACAGTGCGAGAATGATATTATAATGGTGGAGAAAGCAGGGATTTGTCTCAATGACGTTGTCTCAATAAGACAACTCCCGCACTAGGAATTAATCCTGTTTAGCGGGGGGCTTTACAAACATCCATGAAACGGACACAAAGAACACCCAGACTCAGAACAACAATTTGTCGGTCACACAAAGTGTCGTCCCATGTGGGGATCGGACCCACAGCACTCATCGCAGTAGTGCAAACCACTAAGCGATCCGTGCAGTCCTTATTCATCCCGTGGGTGTCATAATAACCGACTAAGGGAGCAAACTAAGCAAGACTATAGCACTGCAAAGAGAAGGAAAACTTTAAACAAGCCCTATACTAACCCGTCTGGCTAGCATAGTATAGTAGGCCAAAATCTCATTTCTAAGAAGAGGCCTATGTCCAGCAGTGGACTAGTAAAGGCTGCTGATGTGATGTGATGTGTCTAATTAGTGTTACATGTGACGATAAAAGTTTTAACACTTTAATTGAAGGGTCTAGGTCTTGGTAAGTGACCATGCCCTTCTGGCACAGCAATCATTATAATTAAAAAATTAACTACACACATCTAACGCAAGAATAAACGATTGTACTCATCACACAGTTATTTTTCTTGGGCGGGAATCGAATTCACGACCTCTGGATCAATATAATATAATATGTTCAAATATCATTCCTTTATCGAACAAAGCTGTCAATCTATGTTTTTCTTTAAATCTGCTGAATAATGGTCTAAAGAATTTCGATATAAAATACACAATACAGCGAAGATTCAGCTTTTTTGCCTATAAAAAAACACCCCACCCCTATTTCGGGGATCGTATTAAGCTGGCAACAGATAGGGCGTATGTCCTCATGATTTATGTAAGCTGAAAGCTAGGGAGGAGAAATATCGATATCGATAACGATTGTTAAAAATTAGGTTTTGTTTTATGAGTAACGATATTGGGGGAGAAAAGGAATTTTCTTATCTGATGAATAACATACACGATTTCTGACATGATGCTGATCGAAAAAAAAATTGTTTGACTTATTTTTTCATAGAAGCATTTATAGGGATAGGTTACATGTAAGAATTTTTTCAGAAGTTGAAATGACTTTAACAGCGTTAGTATAGTAGTGTAATTTTTACTACTGGTCAGTAACAGTACTCAGAGTAGGGAATCGTACGGTTACCAACTAACAAATCAGTAGTATGTTTAAATTTATAGGCCCCAAAAACCGAATATTAACATGAAGTATATAATATCACTAAGTAATAGCATGACAAAATTAACAAATTTACTTTTAAACATATCCTACATAACGAATAAATAAAATTCATACATATATATTTCCTCTTTCTTTATCGATACATTTTGTTTGCCGTCACTTAGAAAATTGTATTAAGTCGCGCCTACAGGCAGCGGAAACTGATTTATGGGCCCCTCTAACTGCACTTTCTAGAGTTGTGACTACGTTGATACAGAAAACATCGATATTTTTACATTTTTATAATATCAATTTATTACAATTTCTTTTTATCATTTTTTTGTTATTAACACAGATGAAGAGGATAAATACAATTTTATTATAATTGTTAGTTTATTTAATAGAGTTTTTGTATCGATACTTTTGTGGTTTTTCTATCGTGGGACGTGTCTACTAACCTTGAATTTCAGTAATCCCGCCGAGAAATATTTGCCAACCATAATTGGTTTGTTCACTACTGAAATCTAACATTATGTGTTAGTTTAGAATGTTAGTAGTTATTCAAACAATCATTATCAAAACTGTAATTGTATCTTCGACGATATTTGACAACTGTTTATTGCGTAATAGAAAGGCTTTAAATAGACATTGTAATTTGACAACGGGTATTTGTTCTCTAGATATTTTTATTGATACATTTTGTTTTAAAAATCACTCTTTAAAAAACAATGCCTCTTTTATAGTAACAAAATATGAGTTTGAAAAACATCACATCAACAGCCTTTAATAGTCCACTGCTGGACATAGGCCTCTCATTAGAAAGGAGGTTTTGGCCTACTATACCACGCTAGCCAGACTGGTTGGTATAGGGTTTGTGTCAAATTTCCTTCTCTCCGCAGTGCTGTTGTTTTGTGTAGTTTTTGAAGAACATATGTATTATATTTTTAGTTTACACCTATTTACAGATGAAATGAACACATAATACAAATCCTTTAAATCATCTTAACTGAAATATAGAAATGAGATTGAGTAAAAATCTACAAAAATGGAAAACGCACATTGATAGCCTCTTTCTGTTAGTTCAGAAATCAACTTGAAACCCCAAGAGACACAGTTTACGAAAACTAAAAGTACTTTTCAAAGTAAATTGAAGCCACTTGATATTTTATTAAAAAGTTATTCGTATAATTCTCTTATCTAGATAAACTGAAATTTTCTAACTTAGGTTTATATTGAAAATACAATCATAAAATTTAGTAGTATATTATGTACTTTAGTATTTAAGTGTTTGGTTAAAATCTGACCACAAAATAAATTTTATATCATCATCATCATCAACAGCCTTTACTAGTTCCTTGGAAAGGAGGTTTTGGCCCTCTATACCATGCTGACAAGACAGGTTGGTATAGCGTTTGTGTTAAGTTTTTCCTTCTCTTCTCAAATTTTATATAATATTGTGAAATCTTGAAGCTCCTAAAGGAAATGAGTATTTTTACTTTCTTTTGCGTAGTTAATTTAATCGACGTGTAATACTGCTGTGTACAAGTGGTTAAAGATCTTGACTACTAAGGTAAAGATTAATAATTGTGTTATGAGCACGATCATTTGTTTTGTCTGGGTGTTATTTATCTATAGTATAACTGCACAGATGGCGTAGTGGTTCAAGCGGTTAACTTGAGTGTTCGATGCCCACATGGGACAACACTTTGTGTTATTTACAAATTGTTGTTCTGAGTCTGGGTGTTTCTTGCATCCATTTCATGTATGTCTGTAATTGAAATATTATGTATGTATTTAGAATTATATATGTATGTTTTTACTGTGCTACACAGGCACTAATTTGGAATCCGATGGCCGTGTGTGAGATGACTCCAGTTAATATTATCGCTGTATGATTATTACATTCACCTTTTTAGATGAACCGTTATATTTTTTACTGTAACTAAAATAAATTGCGTCTTTTAAAATTAGTTTTATGGGTTTCCTAATTTCATTATGATCCCATTTAATATCAGATCTTAAAACTATTTATGAAATAATTAGTATATAAAAAATATCCTTGCTGACTTGGTGACTGACTGAATGGCTAGATATTAGAAATATCTCTCCGCTAAATTTTTCTTCTCACACCTTAGTCATGTCAAAATGTCTCCGAGAAAAGAAACGTTTAAAACGTTTTTCTACAAAAGTAAGTCTAGACCTCATAATAGAAATAAGCTGGCTTCACTGAGTTTTCGACAGCTGAGGCTAATTTGGGGCGGTGAAATTACTTTCTTAAACGATACTTTTGAAATATCTGAAATGCTTTTTATAGAAAATAAACCTGACATTTTTAGACTCACAATCACTTAATGTATGTTTTGACATTAATGAACTAAATATATATAAAAGAAATATCTTACAAAAGGAGAGATCGTATATTGGAGAAAGTTTTCTGATATTTCAGTAGATATTGCAATACAATATAATATCATCTGTACTAGACATAGGACTCTACTTAGAAAGAAGGTTTTGGCCTACTATACCACGCGGGCCAGATGGGTCGGTATAAGGTTTGTTTCAAGTTTTTCTTCTCTTTGCCGTGCTGTTATCTTGCAGGGTTTGCTCTATTAAACGGTAATAAATGGTTGATAGTCAACATCAACCGTTTGACTACAATCTTATCAATTCAATTCATCTTTTAAAACTGTTTTACTTCATTTAGTATACAATATGTTAACAATTTAATTCCATTCAAATCTCCTTACATAAATTACGAAC